AACAAATATCACGTAATTTTCTACCCTAAATATATGTCTATAAGGCAAAATGTGCAATTCGCGCAAATTTAAGAAAAATACATCAAGCTCGATCGTACGCAATTAAGGATAAAAATTATTACGTGCACAATCGACATCTATAAAAAATATTAAAACACCAATTTGCCCAGTCTCGAGACAGTCATATTAAGAGTCGTGTCGATTCTTCGATCTTACACTTACTCTTAGCGACTCGACTTGACTCGACTCGACACATTCGATCGACATTTCGAATCCCGTGGGATTCATCAAGATCGCGAGATCGCACGGGTGTGTGCCTGTTTGACACGCTCGTCTGAGAGCCTCCTCGAAGTGACTCGCAATCGACGAGACTCGCAGAGACACGCGATTAATACAACACGACGTTCCATCATGTTTATATAATGTATGTATGTGTATACATAATATATATGTATGTATATATATGTACGCATGTATATATTATAAATAATCAATTAAAGGTTTGCTTTGAAAGTAAGTAAAAATATATATAGATATATACTCGAATATATATATATTTTTTTCGTTTTCCTCTCTTTTCTCTCTTCTCTCATATCTGCACCATATATATTTCTCGACGCATCTCGCATGTAAATCTATTCCGTGAATGTGTCGTGTATGTGTGAATTCGTGTATGATGTATGCATGCTGCGCGCGCGCGCGCATCTGTATAAATATAATCCTTTCCCGCTGGGAAAGCAACGAGTGCGACTCGTGATAGATTCCGAGATAAATACAATTGAATGATACATTTTCTTTTTCATCAATTTGCATTTTTTCCCGCATATCAGAATTTGCTTTACATTCGCTAAATATTATTATAAATTAAGAAAAGAGTAACAAAACACACATTAAATAGAGATATTCAAATTCAAATTAAAGCTCTTAAAGCAACAAAAAGATAAAAAATTATCTGACCATCATAATGAACATTCTTCATAGTTCTAATTCTAATCATATTTGATAATTATATAAGACTGATTTGTAAAACACTTATTTCCGTAAAGACATTACATTGAGTACATTCGCGTGCGGATATAAAATACCAAATTTTACGTAGTTTTTGCCTGCGTAAAATTTAGAAAATCGAAGGATTTTTGTCTTTGAGTTCATTTTTCATAAAAAAATGTAAAACTATACACAATATATATTACAGCTTGTTGTTATTTAACAATCGTAGTATCGGTAATTACAATTTATTATTAACCTAATATAACAAATGTAATATTGATTGCCTCACCAAGAGATTCTATCGCGAGTCGTACTCATCGGTCATAATATTTGTATAACTGTCTTTAACACTATAAAAGAATCGTCCGACGTCATCGATTCGTTTCCTCCGTACTTTCTCTTACGCCGGAAGATTAACTCCCACGAGAAAAATCACGAAGAATTACCTCAACTCGTTCTAATAGAACTCGATAGGTTCTGTCTCACTGCTGTCTATCATGCGAAAGGCTCGATGGGTGACGCATAGCATTTGCTTCACGGCAAAAATTAATTGTCAACAATCACGAACATTCAAATCCTAAAAAATTTAATATGATCGTGAATCCGTTCCTCTAAATACACCAGGTAAACGTCGTCGTCGTTCTGCTCTTCGGGGAGCTTAAAATACAAAACGGTATAAAATAATAAAAAGCGAATAAGGCCCCGAAAAGGAGAATGGCACGACAAGAAACGCGAGGACATCCAAGAGAACGGAGGAGAATGAAGCGAACGACGACGGACGTACAAATTGGACAATCACGTGGTAGCGAGTCAGGCCACATGCCTCTCCCGCTCCTCTCCATCACCTCTTCCTTCGCCTGTATAAAAAATCTTAAACTACCTAAATCTACGTAATCCGAAACGTTCGAAATGAGCAAACGAGAGCCTTTTGTTCACCGACTACGTTTCTCTTCCGCGCGACGTTTTTCTCTCGCCGCTCTGTGCTTTTCTTCAGAATGAAAAAAGAGACGATCTCGCCGATCTTCCTCGCTCGTTCGCCTCCTATCGCGCGATAGGAGATTACATAGCCGCGGAAGAAATAAAAACGTAGAGATGAGAAACATCACGTTCATATATTCTTACACATACACCTTACATAATCTAAAATTGGTGCAAATCGCATTTCGACACAGAATACTTTGCATTCATATTCTTTTTTAACAATGCACCTAACGCCGAACATGGTTGTCCGATTTTCGACGTGAATAATGAATAATCGAACGACCGCATTTAGTATTAAACGCATGATAAAAATTGATCTCTTATTCGCACATGTTCAATAAAATATTTTGACAAGACTTTTCCAAACCCGACTACGCCGCTTTTAATCTAAACGATTCCTACTTATAGATATAATGAATAGATTGAAAGATGAATCATATTAGCTTGATTCTTATTGATTTCAATACTTGTCCGATTTACTTGTTCAGATCGAATTTATCGATTTGTATTTCATTTACGATGGCGTGAGAGAAACTTGAAGAACCACTATTTTCATTGAACGTGAAGCGTTCCCGATACACTCTCGCCATTTACCGACCGCTCTGTAAATGTGAGATTTCTCAGGCACGCCTCCGTGCATCTTCAAATTTCATTTCAGTGGTTCAGGTCAGGACGCAACAAAGAAACGATTGCAAAAGAGGAAGAAAATATAAGAGAATAACAACAATAGATAAATATTCTATTAATATATAAAAGAACGACAAAGAACATAAATAGACACATCCTCTGTCTGATTAGTATTGCAAAAATATTGTTTCAAATTAATGACTAGCGTTCGATTGTGATTTTTCTTTCATACTTGTTTTTTATATCGATAACAATTTTACTTCTTGTTTTTCATTCAATACTTTCAATTCCTGTTGCATCCTGATCTTTCCTCTTATCGCTACTATCTACAAGACTGTTCAGAACTAAGACCGATAGCGAGAAAGATCGACTCGACGCGTTGGTCGTACATTGAAGTTTTGGAAAAGAAAGTTCACGGAAGAAGTATAGAAAAAGAAGAAACGAAAAACAAGGATGAGAGATTAGGGACAAAAGCGATCGGAAATGACAAACGCGATAACTTTCCTCCCTCTGCCTACTAACAATCCGAAAAAAATCACAGATGATATATAGATACATGTATATACATATATATATATATGTATGTATATATGTATGTATCTTTTCTCATAAATCTGCTTGGCATAACGTCTGAAATGTAATGTGTATAAAAAAAAGTTCTCTCTCTCTCTCTTTCTCTCTCTCACCGAAGAAATTTCATCACAATCCACTGCGGAACGCGATCGAGAAAGGACGACGGAGATATCCGGTCCATCTTCGCGATTAAACTCGAAGATTTAGCCACGAGAAGCGAGCGGGTCCACTCTTTAATGACTTGAGGAAAACTTGAAATACAGTCAGACATGTTACAAGTTAATGTGATATTTGATAATGTTCCAAGAAACACTTTAAATTTCTCGGAAAAAGTGGATTCACTGGATTTTCGCGGCCAGTTTTTCGGTTATAAAATGGTATAAAGACGCCTTGCGGTTTTACGTGAATTTCGTTCGACTACATTCTAATATCACTATTATAATTCAGCAATATCGCAAAAAAATGAAGACGTTTTATTTTGCGAATCGCAGCACGCGTCTTTCGTTGAAATCGCGAACGGCGTTTTGCAAGCGATCAAGAATTTCGAGCAACAAGGAAGCGATCACCTTTCGACTTCTGAATGACCACGTTTAACCCTTAAAAGCCTAAAATGATCGTATTACAATATAATATGGTCGCGATAAAATTATGCAAAGCTTGATTCGTATAACTGACATTAATATCAATTCCTATTAATTGATATTGATACGAATTGATATTAATTTAGCTTCCCAATTTAAATACAAGCTTTATAGCAAGAAACAAAATACGTTACATTACAAAAAAAACATTAAATAATGAGTAATAGCACGTGATCCAGATTAACTTATTACATGAAAAATTATATCGAGTGTCATTTGTGAGCACTTCGTAAGATATATTAACGTAATAAGCTTTGCTTGTAGCATAAACATTCAATCAATGACTATGACTTACTCAGCTACCATCATAGCAATTCAAAAGATATTTTTATAAATTATTTTTATAGTATTTTAACTGTCTTTTCTAAAAATAGCACGATTTAAACTACATAGGTACATCCTATGTAGCTAAATAATAACGAATTACTAACTCAAAGTTAGTTTCAAATGACCGCTCGATACGAGCTAATCAGAATCCGAGGATTCAGGCTATTAAGGATTAGACGTTAGACGATTATAAGAGACTACCCTGATTACCTGAACAATGGAATCTATGCGAACGAAGCGGACCTCGCTATCCCGGTCGCTGATCCGACGGCATGATTTTGTAATGCCGATGTTTCCGAGCGGATCAATTCTGCGCAATTACAAGCTAAAAGACGCTTTCTATTTTGAAAAACAAAATTTCGGTAGCGGCAGAAACGTACCGTCACCATCCTGCCGTAATGTTGACGCAGATCTTGGACTCTCCGCGTCGTGAAAACCCTGAGGGAGAGCTGGTGACATCCGTCGTTGGTATTGTTGGTCCTGTTAGTCGAGAGGTTCCCAAACATTCTGAATCTAATAATTCTTCGAATCTGATATTTTCTTTCTATCTCATCCTCGTAATAATGTTGACGAAAGCGTGGATACGAAATATCCAATCATTATTAGTCATACATGTAGAAAATATAAGTCAATTTTCAAATTATTTCCCACGCTTACTCATTCTTGTTACATTTACAAAATAAAAAGATTCAGATAATTTAGAAGAAAATTTAAAAACTTCATGTTTTCAAAACATTATCATCTTTACATACCGATCAAAAAATAGTTAAATATTTATTTTAATATTTATAACAATCGATAATATAAAAAATTAGTTTGATTTTTTAAAAATTATTTTTCAAGATTTTTTACTTCATATGTTTCTTGTTTCTATATTCTTCTGGATATAAATTGCGTTTCATCAGGATATCGCGACGCGCCGTTTGGGAACTTCTGCTTCGAAGTGATCATTATCGTATCGCGATAACGCGTATATATATCTAATTCTATCGCTAGTATCTCTTACGATTATTATCGTTACGGTTATTATACACTTCGTCAAAGTGCTCCGTATTTTCGGAGATCTTACGACCTACCTATCATTCGATGATGATTAAGCAATCGATATACATTGCGTGCTTTCACGATATTTCGCGTGAGATTATTTCCTCTCACTGTGAAACATACGCAATAATTATTGTACACGATTTTAGGAAACGTTCCGAACGAAGGAGCGTTTTGTCTCGCAACGAAACGTGTGTTCGAACTCGTCAAGGAAGGCTCACGTGATACAGTCGATCTGCCGATCACGTCGGCGAATGATGCTTGTAGCAGCAGAACTCACGTGTGGGTGTGCGCGCGTGCGTGAACGTACTCAGACTCGAGCGGATCCGGATCGCGACGCTCGACAGGCCAATATTATGTATGTGGCATGACGAGCTGATTCTCATGGGGCGGTCGCGCGAACGACGATTGATTCTGAATATGGATCTGCAACTGCTTCTGCTGGGCCTGTAGTTGCGCTAGCGCTGCGGGCGGCGCAAACGCGGGATAGGCCAGAGTGGTGGTTAGGCACTCGTTATGTTCCTCCAAAGAATTCTGAGCATAGTGCAGCACTAGGTGTTTCAGGGTCTCGTGAATGTTGTATGGCTCGGCGAAGCCGTAACCGCGCTCGGTAGCGTATATTATGCAATGCTGTACCGTATCGTTGCACCTGTAACATCATGATTCTCGAATAACACATGGCACAAATCGCGAAACCATCCCGGTCAATGAAATACGATTTTTAAAACTGGATTATTCAAATTCTCGAGGGAAACCTTGAGAGGATTAACTTTCGTTTTAAATGGTCCATACCATTAGGTTATTTCTACTATTAGCTATATTATAATCTCGCGCGTTATATATAATTATCTACTTTCATTTATTTTTTATTTAAACTACACGTCATACTTGTATAAAAATATAGATGATACTTACACTATAGAAAGTGCGTACTGGCCAGTTCTCGATCGACGAACAAGGAAGGTACCATCGGGCCGGCCCTTTAGAATAAGATCAGCATCAGAACGAGAACCTTTCAAAAACAGCCACGTTTTCTCATCGGAATGAATTGCAAAGTCCACCTCCTCTTTGTTCTGCTTTATTTCATTCTTCTTTAACCATCTGCAATGTTCGAATGAATTGAATCAGTTTTTCAATGTAAAAATAAAAGGAAATTTTTGACAACAGACCGAATAAAAGAATACATACTGAGAATGGCGATCCTTTTGCCGCACAAGTACCCCAATCTCTGACTTCAGCTTGTACATTTCTCTCTCAAGGGTCCTGTAGTAAGCGATCTGTTGTTTCAGACTCTCATCCAGTTGTTCTTTGCTATCTTCTAAGGCCTTCAGTCTTCGCTTCAACAATTCTGAATTGTCTGTCAAACTGTTATTACAAAAATATAATAACAAGATTAATTGATTATAATTAATAATCTCTACTTTATATTATTTGCTGTATAAGATCTCGGAAATATTATCATCAATGCAATCATAATGGAACACTATAGAAAATTTCACTTCTAAAATTTCATAAAAATTTGAAAGTGTAAGTATCTTTAGAGAGCATTAACAACAGAGTACTCACGTAGAAATTTCATGAGGCTGAGCTTCTATCTTGCACCTTTCTTGCAACTTTATCTGTTCCTCAAACATCTTGATGGCCTCTGTGAAGGCTTCCAATGCATTACGCTTCAACTGAACTTCGTAGGCCGTTTTGCTATACAAATCCGAACAATGTTGATACTGCCGGATTGTATCATTTATATCTTTATCTAACTCGAAATATTTCTGTCTGACTTTTGCCATGTCGGTCGTATTTGCGATCTCGTCATCCTATTTTTCAGACAAACACAAGATAGAAAGTTCAAGGATGAACATAATACAATTATTTCGTGAACCAGAAAGTTATAGGAAGGTACCTGTTGAAATCGCGATACCGGATAAAGCAACTTAATATCCAGCACCGAATTATACTGTGCGAGCGAGCAGTTCCTATAGTAGTCGACCAGCTCGATGACCGAGTGGAAGTTATAGGGATCCGAAAATCCATATTTTCCATTTCGGTGACTGATCTTGATGAGTTTGTTGGTCCCGCCTTTACGCAGCGTTAGAGTGTACTCGCCACCCTTGGAAGACGCATTGCGTACCAGAAAGGTGCCATCCGGTGAGTCGATCATCATCTCGTTTACGTCATCCCTCGTGATTTCACCCCAATACCATTCAGCTTCCTGTAGCGTGCGCGGCCTAGAATTTTTTCAGCGATATTTACAATTAGTCATTTGTACCATATAATTACAAATAATTACCATAAATCTTAGAAGTTAACTATAGAAGAAAAAAGAACTAAAACCAAGTATAGGATTAAAGTTAAATTGATAGAAAGATTAAAATTCAAGTTTATAATGTGGAATTAGAACTAGAAACTTCTAACTTAGATTAAGATTTGGATTGAAATCAGAATCGAATTTGAAGATCACCTATGCGGCTGTTGGTCCTTGCCAGTATCCGCACCAGGTGCCGTTTTGTCTACAGCTTCGTCTTCAAGAACCGGGAACGGATCCAAAATCGGAAACTGTGGTCTCGAAACTTTACGTGGCGGCAATTGCGGGGGACTGGCAAACTCCGGTAGCCTCTCGCTCCAATCGCCGTGTAATAGTAGCAATTCCATTATGCGTATGTGTGCCTCCGTGTTGTGAACAACTTGGCTGTAAAATTGCGCAGTGCAAAGTGCTAAATTCTTCGTAATCAAAGACATATTACGAGTGTTCTATCAGACAAGTAATCTTATCTATTAGTAGTAATATAGTCGTAAAACCAGTTAATTTTTTTATCGCAAATATGACAGTATTATATCGTTATGTAATGATATTATATCCTGAAATTTACAAGGTGCTTTTTGCGAGAGAAAATGAAATAATCCAATACTAGCAAACTAGAAAGTGACATTCTTTTAATTGAATTAACCCGCTAGTCGACGAGATGAAAAGCAATCTATTACTAGCGTCCTCGAAAATACCGATGTTTTTTTTTTAGTCACTAGTACGTCGTCAGTAAAAAAAAGGGATCGTGTGAACCACGCTCTACTCTCAACTCTTTCCCTATGACTAAAAGAATCCACGTGGCACTCACATGATTCGCTCCCAGGGCGGCCTGAGAAATATATGACAGAGAACTTGTACAAGGATGGTCGGTGGTTCCGTGTAGCCCCTTCCGTGCTGCAACTGACAGATGCGACAGAAATGTGCCATCAAATGGCACAATGTGCTACGATGATGTTCCGGTAGCTCCGCTACTAATTGATTGAGACGCGTTGCGCACTGCTCGTCGCTTCTCATACCTGTGAGACCAAAACAAATTCGTACGACTTTCGGAATCGAACGACGAATTATAACCATTGATGAAAAATTTGATAACCGGTTTAAAAAAAAGTATTTAATTAAGAAATATATACTTACTCGACGCATCCAGAAATCTGTCGTACCATTGCACCGGGATTACTGGGTCTGGCAATTCACGTAGAAACTTTTTCAAGACACTGGCGATACATTGGGGAGTGTACGGACTTAAATCCGCGTTACAGACATCTGAAAAGATTATGTTACGTTGCTCTATATTTAGCTCATTGCAAAAAATAAATATTAATCATATCAGTAACTGCTCAAAAAACATAATATAATTAATTATATTGATATGATTATTTTATCGCTTTTAATTCAACCGATACAACTGATAAAAACGTGATTTTTTAAGTTATTACCACGAATGAGTTAAGTGAACATTACTCTATTAATTATTATCAAACGTAAATTAATTTAACTTTATAAAAAAATATCAAATCAACATAATTTAAAAAAGATGAGGAGTTTTAAAAATATCAACAAAATCATTATAATAAAAGTAATTTTTTTAAAAGTTGTAAAACGAAAACGACAAAAGAGAAATTTGATCATGTTAAGTATATATTCTCTTTGCCAATACTATTTAATTAGTCAATAATATATTAATATAATCAATTACTGTGCACAAGAAATTTCGAAAAGAACATCTCTAGTTAGGAGCTTCGTTTATCTCAAATATTATCTGCAATCTACTTAAATTCCTATCTATTTGTGCAATCCAATTTTTTTCTCCTATTAAGTTTTACAGTTCGAATTCTTTTTACAAGAATTGTGAAAGAAATATATTTAAATGAATTAAAATGATAATAAGCAAATATATATTTAGTCGATAAACTCTCAGTTCGTTGAACGCGATTTCCCGATGTTAGGCAGACAACTGACATGTTGCAGCGGTTAAATCTGCACAATATAATACACGATATAATACAGACAGCAGCAGTCTCTGTCTTTCTCAGGAAATGTGTAAGTTTTCTTAACATTATTCCGAAAACAACTGATTCATACGCCGTGCAACGTCGCGAGAAACTTTAAAAGAAATTTCGAGGCTATATATGTATAAATGTTGGGACTTATCGGTAAATGCAGCCGGATCTTTGTCTCTCAAAGCGCGAAAGGAGCTCGCTCATTCGTTGTCCCTGAAATCTGGATCTGTCGCGCAAAATATAAGCGTGCTTTTCTGGCGCCCTCCCTCAGAATCTCAGAATGGAGGGGGTTCTCCACAATGCAGCATGCATTTGGTGGCGCGCCTCGACATTTTTGCAACCCGCGAGCCAAACATTGTGGCACGACTGCCGGCTATTTATAGCACGCGTGATCGCGCGATCCGACCTGCCGGCCGGCCACGGCGCGGCGCGCCCGTCTTACCTTCGTTCAGCTTCTGTCGCAGCTCGAGGGTCTGCTCATTAGGTGGGCTGCTGTGGTAAACTTTGTAGAGGTCCAGCGTCGTGTCGGCGAACGCCTGCTCCTCGAGGGCGCGGGTACATCGCTCCACCAGAATCGGCGCCGCACGGCTGGCGGTGTCAAATTGCGAGCACAGCGCGAGGCCGAACACTGCAAATTGTGTGACAAACATTCGTGGCTATTCCGTGAATTCTTTGCACGCGTCCGGCACGAACTACGTCGTGGCCGGAGAGAATTTTGAAACGCGAGACGTACCTTAGGCACGCTGCGCCGAGCCTGAGGTGCGTCTCGCGTTTCAAAATTCTCTGCTGTGTGCCATGCCTGAGGTACTCGCCTCTTTCCAAACGAGAAATTTATAAAAGCTAAAATCTTCGTCCCTCTAAATCCAGATCTACAATAAGTGATTTAAGCCTTAAGCCGTAAGAAATTGACCAATTACAGTCGAATTCTAGGAGAATGGCTTAATACTTAAAACTCTATTTGTAGATCCGGGGTGACGCAACATTGTCATCGATTACGGCTAAACAAACATTCCTTCATATAATATCGTATACTTGATTTATTCTCCCTCTTTCTCTTTCGCTCGTTTTAGAGTCGAGGCACGTCGTGCGAGACGCGATCGATCGCTGGATGAAGCAAGTGCAGCGCTTCTCTTTATCCATGAGGCCGCGAAATTCAGTGAGGACAGAGCGACGAAATTGCGTAACGCCGCGATCGTGGAATACTATCGGAGCAGAAGAATTCCTGACGATACCCCGCAGATTTTCGCGCTCAAGCGGACAAGCCGCTCCTCGTTGTTTTATCGCCTACGGCCGCCCGCGCCTCCTTTCTTCAATCGTCCCGTCTCTCCGCTCCTTCCTCTCTCTCCTCTTTTTTTTCCCCCTCTTCGTTTTATTACGGCTGACGAACCTTTGACTTTATTTTCGCGCGAGGATATACGGCGCGATCATATTTTCAGACATGATCCCGTTTTCTCTCTCGCTTTCTCTGTCTCCCGCTAATACCCGCGCGTACACACGCCACTTGTACAATCAAAGATGCGTGCATTATGATGTGTGAGAGAGAGAGAGAGAGAGAGAGAACGAGCGGAGAGAACATTGTGTAGGAGGGGCAAGAGGAGGAGGAGGAAAGAAATTTATTTTTACGACCGCGACGGCGACGTCTTGTTTCTTCATGACCGTATCTTCTTCTTGTTCTTTTGGAGGACGAGTGACCGAAAAGAGAGAGAGAGAGAGAGAGAGAGAGAGAGAGAGAGAAGGGAGGGAGAACAAAAAGTCAGAATTAAAACACGATCTATACGAGAACGTAGGCACGCACGTGAATTTTATGCGCGGATATAAGGCGGAGGTCACAGCCGGGCTATTCGATATTTGTCACGAATTCCAAATGTTACTCGTCGATGCGTGTAACAACGAGAAATCTCGCTGAATCGTGCCGTTGTACTCCGATAAATCAACGGCACGAGTAAATACGTGAGATACGCGAAGCACTCGGATTTTGGACGCGATTTGCAGGTTCCGAGACTCGGCTTTAACCCTTTGTTGCTTGTACGGGGTGTTTAAGATAGTCTTGTAAATTCGCTAAATATATTTAAATGCTATTTATACACTTTATTACTCTCTAAAGCTTTTGGAGTGAAATCTTATTTTATAAAGTAAAAATTGAACCAGTCTTGAAAAAGAGTAGCTTAATTTTTAATCATTAAGAATAAGATTTCACTCTTCGGAGTGACAATTCAGTCTAAAAGTTTTAGAGAGAGTATATTTATGTAAATTGTTTCACAAAAATTAAGAAAGATTTATTATATTTATTTTTATCTAAAGAATGTACAGAATATTATATCAATCTTTATTTAAGTGTAAATTGTCAAAGAAAATAATGAAAATTTAAATATAATATAGAAATATTAGAAATATCCTATATATGCGAGTAATTACAAAAAAAACCATGCGAGGCTGACTTGGTGTCGATTTCCGCGCTTAAATTTTGACGATTTGAGATTTCAACAATTTCGGATTTTGACAAATTGATAAATCAGGAAAACCCAGGAGATTATAAAAATTACGTGTTGTGATTTCTCTGCAGCGTACAGTTAATGTGTGTGCAAGAAGTATGTACGTAACCAGAAGTGCGTTACAAAAATAGCATAAGCACTGAGAGAAAAGTTTTTAGTACTCATGACTATATTAACTGCATAGTAAAATAATAGTTATTAGCTAATAATAGTTATTAGCAACTTCATTTTTATAGTTATTACTCTACAATATTAGCATAATAATATTTATAATTTTATGTAAACAGAACACATGGTTGTCCTCGAAAACGATTATAATTTTATAGCCAACTGTAAGTTCTTTTTTTATATACAATTACGTAAATATTACATAGTTCTATACAAAAATTGTATAATTATTACTATTGACATTATAACAGTAATGGCTACCAAAATAGAGTAATCGTAATATTTTACCATGCAATTACAGTCACAAATATCAGAAATATTTCTCTCATTGAGCGAAATATCGAGTCGATATGCAATTAGAGGCTCAAGCCGATCGCCGCGTCATTTTCAATCAACTTTCCAGACGCGGAGGCAGGTGCAATTTGTGCGGGATCGTCAATGTCGAAGTCGCAACCGCGAGTGCGCGCGGCCTCCGCACGTGACTCGAATTTTTATTCGGCAGAGAAGCGTAATTGTCCACCGTTGCACCTCCACGCGCGCGTGGCTCGACCGGGTCGTGCTGACGACTCGCCCGCGCGTGTATAAGCGATTAAACGCCACCAATTACTACAAATCAACCGGAGCCGACGCGACAATCGCGCGCGCGCGCGCACGCGAAAAAGGTGCGGCGCATCGCGAGCGGTTTTTTTCTTCAACGCGGAATTAGATTTCCCACGATCCCTCAGAAGTAGTGTTACTTTTTTAAGAATATATAATCTTCGTAAAATCTTCTGGTCATTAATTAAAATTTTATATTTATAAAATTATATTAATAAGAATTGTTAATAAAAATTATTTTCTTAAAGTTTTATTTGATTAAATACCTACATTCTTTAACACACAAAAAATTTTTTTTTTGTTTTCGCCTTTGGATCTTTTTTCAAAAAATATAATGTATTCTTTTCTTGTGATTCAGATATGATAATCTTACTCAAGAAGCCATGATCTCCGAAGTCATTAAAACGAGAATTGATTAGATTCGATCTCCTCCCACAACAGATTTCCGGATGAAGCGGATAACGAAATCAAAGCGCAATTAACGTCCTGCATACTCGTGGAGCGTCCCCGAAACTCTCATTCTCTTTCCAATAGTTGTCCACTGTGTCGCGGAAATGCACCCAGTCCATTAATATCATGAAATTATATCAATTCTCTTATCGTTATTCGTCGCAGCCACGAATTGGCGTCGCGGACAAACGACGTTATCAGCGGGACGATAATTCCGAGCGATCGATGCACCGTCGCGCAGTGTGTACAAACGCAATTGGCGACGGGGGAACGGTTAGAATAAATGAATGAGGGGGGACAGCGCGCGGGGCGACGGGGTGACATGGCCCTGAAGACTGGCGCCGCACTCGCGGTTTTGCTATGCACAAATATTCGATTCCGTCATTCGCGCCGCGGCGTGTGCAGCGTTAATTCAATGCATCGCTGGAGGCGCACGTTGACGGCACGAGCGTTGAGCCTTGCTTACGTTGTCTTTGCTGATTATCGTCGTCTGGGGGTATTCGCACCGTTTAACCATCTCTCGCCGTCAAAGGCACACATCGCACCTCCAACTGGCGACCGGGCGTAACTTGAGAAAATTTCCGGTGTTCTAAGAGCTCGGTTTATCGGTACAAGAATGAAGAACTAATAATAATTGTTGGTAAAAAAAAACTATTCGGTAGATAACACAAGGTGTCTTGACAGCTATAACTCATGAAATGTCATTTATAAATGTAAAATGTTAAAAAAGATAAAATTCTTTCCCTAAATTTCGATTTTTTCCCCAGAAATATATTTTGTACAAAATGTATATAAATGTATATAAAATAATAATATATATTCGCTTGTTTGGTAAAAAAGTACAACTTGATAAAAAAATCAAACACAACTGAAAAAGTAGCATTTTTGAGATGGACAAAAAATCAACACACTGTAAAGACATATTTCTTGTTAGAGAAAATGATACATTTGTAATTTTCATCGCAATATATCGCTAAAAAGCAAAAGTATCCTCTACTTAAGTTCGTAATAATTGTTTATTAAAAGATATCTTTTAAGTTTTTTAAACGGAAAAAGGAATGTTATCGGCGCTAAAATAGTTATAGAAAAACGTCGCATTTAGTGTTAAGCCATTTTTTAAAACGTTCAAAAATTCAAAATTAAAAAAATTTTTTCCTAAGAAAAATTACTAATTTCGAAAAGTGTTACTTTTCTACCAAAGAAACAATATATACATATATATATCACAAAGTATAAAATATTACAAAAGATAAAATCTCTCTTAACATCGATTCCCTCCGAAAACTGTTTCGTTACTCTGGGAACGAATATACTTTAACGTTTTGTATACGGAAATGCGAATGTTGACAGAGTTGCGGAAGTACAATCGTAAAGATCGAATCGGAATAAATTCAATCCGGTGAAATGCTGTAGACTGCCGTATTCTTGCAACGTCACACCATATGTAGATATTAGTTTTTGCGAAGTGTAGAACGCATTGCAAAGCGAGACCTGCAAAACCCATATTGAAACTTGTATTCTCGGTTAAGGATTATTAAATGCCAGCAAGTGAGACGACTCCTACGCGACCGCGACGCGGAGGGATTTCAATGGAAGAAAGCCGTCAGCCATGAGGTGCAAGCCTCCGTAAAATGATCCAGGTTATCATAACGAGGTGTGAGCGCGCGACCAGGCGCCAGGACGGGCGTCCTTGCCGTCAACTCGAATACGAGATATTGCCACGCAGCTGATTACGATGCCAGCAATCGTGTTTCTGACGCAATGTCTCTCCCGCCTTTGAAGAGACAACTAAATTTTTCAGCGTCTTTCCGTGTTCTATTAGAGACACGATGAAGGATTAATGGGCGGTGCCACGCTGTAAAATTTGCAACGGCGACTGCGGCGATCCGAGCGACGTGACTTACCTGAAGTAAACCTGCTGATACGATTGTCCGAGTCGACCGATATGCAATTGGAAGGTAAACCCGTCGCTGAACACGTCCTGTGAGAGACCAGCCCGCAATCTGCGCAACGTAGAAAATTCGCGAGATCAACAACGCAAAAAACGCACATAGTTTTCTTTTTTTTTTTCCAGTTCACTTGTACTGGTTTCAGAATTTTATCCAGAGCGATTGTCATGCAAGAATAAACACGAATGTTAGATATTTAACGATGATGGAATTTGACAACTCTCGTATAAAAATCTTTTTTTTACAGGTTATGTAATTTTTGAAAGATACACATGTTATAAATTCATTAAGAACGGTCATTAATCTAAAGAATTCATTAGAAATAGAGCAATATAATTTGTAATTCTTTCAAGAGCGCAAAGAAAGTCGGCGATTACGAAGGAATTAAAATGCGCGAAGTGATTCAATCGAGCTCTTTCGCACGTCACCAGTAAAGTTCAATTTATTCAAAAAGATACCCAGCGGATTAGGATTCAAAAAAGATCGATGTCGATAAAGGACGGAAACGTACCTTGGCAGAGGAAGCCCTGATGTAAAAGGCCCCTGAGGTATTTATGGCATTTGCCGCACTTCTCCAACACGCTGAAGCTGTGCGGCATGAGGTTGTGCGCGTTATTGGCCAGGTTGTTGCCCGGATAGTTGACTCCGAGGGAACAGGCCGATTCGACGGCGACGCCGGGTGTCGGCGTCGTCGTGTTGACCGTCGAACCCATCGTCTCCATCGCCACCGGAGGCGGTGGCAACGTTTTGCAGAGTTCCTCGATGCACACCAAAATGTTCCTCTGATGAAATTCATCTTTTATACCCATATTCTGCAACAAGAAATCATACGACGATGTCTCGCATGTACTCGAATGGAGAAAGACACACCGATCCGGTTCTTTTAAGACATGTTACGGTTTGAATTTAATCTTCTCGAGACGACGACGGAACTCCAAATAGAAAAAAAAAAAAAACGTTGCAAGGAGAAATGAAATGCTAATGTAATTAAAAGAACGATATTCTGCTTCATATATTTAAATGTTTAATTTTACTTGCATGATTCGAATAAATAAATATATTATCATAAATGATATAATTTCAAATATTAAAATATGTTTAATGACTTTATGATATCAATGTCTTTCACGTAAATTGATGAATCATTATAACTCATCATAGTGACTCTCCATAATGAAGACGCTATAATTCTGTATAGCAGACTACCAAGAGACGTCTTAAACACGTCTAAAGAATGTTCCAAAAACGTCCTTCGGATGAAGTGAGCTGTGTATAGGATTAGTTTAGAAATAAAACTATTTCCAAATCTGTTTCATAAAAAAAAATAATTCCTCACATCATTGAATATTATTTAAAATACTCGAAGAAAAAAGAATAAAGTTAAAACATGAGACTAACATTTGCGAAATTTGAATTCCAATAAATTTAAATAACTGTATTTTCAAGATCGATTTAATTAATTTAGAAATATCATTATACTTGTAGTATATTATATTGAAACATAATTTATGTAATATATTGCATACAATAAATATTTTATTACGATTCTATAATATAAAAGCTGTAAAATGATGATTTTGCGACTTGAAGACACAACTTCAGACACGTAACTTTTTATCGATTTAATGTCGTTCGCGTCACAGAAAATGGCGGGGTCCTTCGGGACCAATTCTACAGAATCACGGACCGAAAGAGACTCTTTCGCCGCGCTGACGGTGAAAACGTGCGAGTATGACAGTTGTAAATCTGCTAGAATGTAGCACAAGTTAAGATCGCGACGCCGCGACTATAAAGAGCGGGTATATAACGCGTGACAAAGTCAAGCGTGGAGACAGTTACACAGTGACTAATGAGGGAAAATAATACTCTTGTCATAAATAACCCAGGCGCTAACAAGAGTTCAACGTTTCGGAGATAGCGGACCGATTAAGATCCACTGGCCCACTTTTTCGCCGACGGAAATCATCGTCTGGTCATTCATAAACAGAATAATTTTGCCAGTTCTTCATCAAAATGCTTCGCCTGTAATATATCACCGCAAAATTCTATAAAAAATTTAATTAGTCGTGATTTTTCGATGTGATCGTTTAAGGATATCTGAAAGCATTGCCAAAAATATAAAATATTTCATAGATTATTTTATTATTAAGTCTGAGTATCTGTGCAAAAAAACTTTAGCTCAATCTTCTTACTGATTTAAAAGTTAATTAATTATTTTGTTTGCCTTGATTTTTTTTTGTAAAATCACATTTTTAAGCAAAAATACTTATTTTTCGAATCTGAAGTCATAGCATACGAATTAAATCAAATTTTTTATACATACTAATATTCGTACAAAAGTTGATTCGGATCCATTCATTCATTTAAAAGTTATAAAATATGGTCATTTTGCTGCATAAAGTTATTATAAGCCAACTTGTTTATTCTATTTTTTGCAGTTATCTTAAGGCGTATTTATTACAAGACAAACATTTTTTGGCTAATATTTTTTAGATATACAAAACATCCTTAAAATCCGTTTTAATCCATTTTTATGCTTTTTTTTTAATGAATATAATTCAATAGCAACAGGCAGCTTCGGATTCTCGATTGAGGGAGTTTCAATTTTCTTAATTCTTAAGGAAGTGTTCTTTCATCGTTGGTTATAAAAAAAAAAAAATCAATACATGCGGTACCGCACACCGCAGAATACATTTTGCATTTTATTTCGTAATTATATTATTATGTACGCCACACACTTTTTATGTGTTTTTAAGTCAGTATCCAGTATTGGTATATGACCTGTTCAACAAATTTACTGCAAGTTTCAGACTTTCTGAGTCCAGCCCCCACGGAGAGATCGTTCGCGATCGTTCGCGTTATAAATTACAGTGTGCCGCCTCCCTTTTCGCGAACGAAGCCGCGGAAAATACTCTCTAAGAATGGCGAATATCGCAAAAAGAGCGAAAAGGATAGAGATAATTCGCGGGTACCGCAGCGGTAAATCAGTCAAGGGGGACGTTGAGGAGTCGGGAGCACCGCGCTCGTAAAAGGGGTGAACACACGCCGAACGGGCGATCGTAATTTATACGCGTCGTTACGACCCTCTCGCTCGCTCTCTTTCACCGCGTTCTCTCTCCCAGCAGGCATCTCGTTTACCCTAGAGCACGGCCAAGGCAACAGGTGTCGGGTGTGCACCGCTGCACGATACCTGCACCGGCGAAGAGGTATAATGCACCCCGCGGTTCGCGAGTTTGCGATGCGAGTCGCATTCGCGTAATGGAGACCTTCGAGAGAACCCGAAAGGCTTTTGTCATCTGTTACAGTCACTTCAATTGCGAATCCGTATCTCTGTTGCGGAGAATACGTCATACCGCGTTAATGGCTTGGATCGGTGTCTTTGATTGTTCAGGAATGCCACTTGTGGAATGTCGACAGTAGCTGCTCGACGTGTCATTTCGCATATTTTAAATAATAAAAAAAGAAGAGAGAAAAAAATAAGAGAGTATTACGGGATCGCGAAATATTTTCGCTGGAGGAAAATTAAATATCTAAAATGCCGAAAAATATCGGCATAGAGACAGGATAGCGTAAATTTAAAATAATTCTCCTTTAAAAAAACATTTAAAAAAAAATATATATATATATACGCTGCTCTATATAATTATATCTATCATTAAATATTCTTTGAGAGAGTATCAATTTCAAAGCGGCTAATTAAAAAAATAGCTAAAATTATAGCTGAAACAAATATGATAATTATAGAATAGCTTATACAAATCGTCAATATAATCACAACTAAAACATAACTCTCATTCGTACGAAGTAAAATGATGAAAATTCCATATTTTTACGTTTCTTAGCGTCCACCTCTCGTGAAACATGCAAATGTGTTAAGAACTCGTCAAATGTGCTAACAAGCCGCTCGCGATTATAGAGATGTGAGAGTTAAAAATGTTCGCAACCTTCGTGTGATGTAGAATGATATACGTCAATGAATTGCATACTTGCTGCTGGGCGCGCTTGATGAGATAATCGTCGAGCGATTATTCGCGCGTTAATCACGTTATCTTAATCGACCTATGTCGATCGATTCAATATCGATGCGATCGTGAATAGATCCAGGAAGTCGTCTGTTAATATTGCCCTGCTGAATCACTTGACCGCAGCTTTCTTTCCATCTTCGTGTCATAATTTGAATTCTCCGCATTTGTGCTACAAAATTCACGTTACAAGCATGGCGCAAAAAGGCTTGATCAGAGCATTTTAACATACCGTCGATGCATCTGATCGAGAAAATTACGTTTCCTGTAATAACTAGTTTACAAATTTTGATTAATTTTTAATATAAGAAAAGGAAACAATTTTTTTAACGTATTTTTGGGCGCTAAATTTGAATCTGCCACCAAATAAATTCCATCAGGTCGAAGTTTTGAAATATAGCATGTCAATTTTAAGATGTATCAATTTTTAAGATAGGTATATCATTTCTTTCCGAATTTAGGTGCGATTAGAGATCCTATAACAAAGTTTGCCCACGATAAACTTTTGAACAGCCATTATTTTTGTCAGCTTCAGTAATTTAGAATGAGTAAGATAGCATAAGTTAAAATGAGATATAAAAGACAATATATATGTACACCCTTTTTCGCTCTTTTGATAAAATTGTTCGTGGTCAGACTCTGTTATAGGGTCTCTAGATGCGACAAGTGATGAACAAAGTGAACATTTTCACCAGGATTTGATGATAATTGAGAAATATTATTACGGATATTAGAATGAGAACATGGCGATTATTGCTAGACTCTAATACATGAAATCGATTTAAAGTCATATAAAAAAAACAAAAATTAATCTCTCAACACTTCTGATTTGTTGTTTTATAATTTCAAATAAAACAACTACATATTGAAAAAAATTTTTATTTTTTCTTATATCTCAAAAATCAGATCTGATGGAAATATTTCAATGACAGATTCGGGATCAGCATCGAAAATTATCCTAGAAATAGTCTTCATTTCTTGCACAAAACCTTGAAAATTAGTGTAATTTAACGACTTGATCTTGAAATTTATAGCGTCTCGTTTAAAAGGAATACGGAAAGAATTTTTGCTAAAGTATCTAAAAATTTAGCTAAATACTGATTTGAAAATAATTTTGTTGAACCATCAAAATAATTACGTACACATTTCAAGAATAAGTATAATGCTGCAAAAAGTTTTGACATTCTAGCAACTATATAAGTTTGAGCGTCTTACATAATTATTTTGATGGTCCAATAAAATTATTTTCAGATTTGTATCTAGCCAAATTTTTAAGTGCGTTAGCAAAACCATATATTTTCCGTGTACAGATTTAAAAATATTGAAAAGTGAAACATATTCATTATAAATGTACATGTTAAATATACATATTCTTTAAATATAAAATCCTATAAAAGCGAGAGAGGACGTCAACGTAAAATTTAAATGTCACGTTACGCTGCGAATTCTCTGTACCCGTGCAATGTACATTTCAAACAGTCGATCCTTTGATAAAAGACGCGGCTTCTCTCCAAAGAGAGAAGAGGAAGCTGTATAAAAGGGAGAACTCGAAGAGAAAAGTTGAACGGGAACGGAAAATAGACGTGAATGTGATTTCATTTTACGTAAATTGTCTCTGTACCGCAAAAAAAAAAAATATAAATCCGGTTCTATACAGAAAGCACTTCCGGCAGCTGGTTTCTTTTTCAAATAATTTGGCTATGCGCGCGTGCACACGTTCTCGCACGATAGCACGCTATTTCGGTCGGCGCCACGGCGCGCAGTGGGCTAAACGCTATTATTAGCGGCGA